GATCGTTTTATTAGATGTGGAATGGAATCCTGGTTTCCTCTCTTCCTGCTTCATTTCATTCTCTCGTCCCCCCACAGAGCCTCACTTCATCTCGGCCTACGACATCGGGCTCTTCACCTTCTTCTTCCTGCGGGAGAACGCCGTGGAGCACGACTGCGGGAGGACGGTCTACTCCCGCGTGGCTCGGGTCTGCAAGAACGACATGGGGGGGCGCTTCCTGCTGGAGGACACCTGGACCACCTTCATGAAGGCCCGCCTCAACTGCTCCCGCTCCGGGGAGATCCCCTTCTACTACAACGAGCTGCAGAGCACCTTCTACCTGCCCGAGCAGGACCTCCTCTACGGCATCTTCACCACCAACGTGTGAGTGCTCCTCACTGTGCAGGACCAGCAGCTGGACCTTCTGGTCTTTGTTGCTGACGGATCTCTGGAGTTATTGATCCTGATAACTGAGGTCTGGATCCTTCAATTCAAGCCTCACAAGATCCAAACTCTTATCACTTATCACAGCTCAAAGCCGTCATCATTGTGACGTCACTCCTTGTTTTGTGGAATTTGCTGCTGATGAGGTCTCTAGGAGATGAGGTCTCCTATGAGGTGAGGTCTCTAGTGGATGAGGTCTCTAGGAGGTGAGGTCTCTAGGAGGTGAGGTCTCTAAGAGGTGAGGTCTCTGGGAGATGAGATCTCTATGAGGTGAGATCTCTAGGAGATGAGGTCTCCTATGAGGTGAGGTCTCTAGTGGATGAGGTCTCTAGGAGGTGAGGTCTCTAGGAGATGAGGTCTCTGGGAGGGGAGGTCTCTAAGAGGTGAGGTCTCTGGGAGATGAGATCTCTATGAGGTGAGGTCTCTAGGAGATGAGGTCTCTGTGAGATAGTCTCCTATGAGATCTTTAGGAAATTAGGTCTCCTATGAGGTGAGGTCTCTAGGAGATGAGGTCTCCTATGAGGTGAGGTTTCTAGGAGGTGAGGTCTCTAGGAGATGAAGTCTCTGTGATATAGTCTCCTATGAGATCTCTAGGAGATGAGGTCTCCTATGAGGTGAGGTCTCCTATGAGGTGAGGTTTCTAGGAGGTGAGGTCTCTGTGAGATAGTCTCCTATGAGATCTCTAGGAGATGAGGTCTCCTATGAGGTGAGGTCTCCTATGAGGTGAGGTGTCTAGGAGAAGAGGTCTCTAGGAGGTGAGGTCTTTAGGAGACTGTGGGGATCTATTAACTCCATTGAAGGCTTCACATATATCATATAATCTGGATGTCTTTACTCCCCCTCTCACAGAAATAGCATCGCGGCGTCCGCGGTGTGCGCCTTCAACCTGAGCGCCATCACTCAGGCCTTCAACGGGCCCTTCCGCTCCCAGGAGAACCCCCGCTCCACCTGGCTGCCCACCCCCAACCCCATCCACAACTTCCAGGTGAGTCCAACCCGTCTCCAGCCAATGAGAGTGCCGGCTGGGACGGACTCACCGCCATGACCACCCAACATCGTGAGAGACACATCGCATCACATTGCAAGCTGGCGCTTTTATCCCAAAGCGACCTTCAGTGCACATGAGGTCTTTTATTAAAGAAGCTCCGCTACGTCGCTTTTTCCTTCACAGCAAGAAAGAAAAAGAACACAATTAGAAATGCCAGCTGGCTCTGTGTATTGTGTCTTTTGTTATGTCTCGGTCTGCCCCCCCAGTGTGGAACCATCGAGGACAAGGGACCCAACGAGGGTCTGACGGAGCGCAGCCTGCAGGACGCCCAGCGGCTCTACCTGATGAACGACGTGGTGCAGCCCGAGTCCACCGACCCGCTCGTCATGCAGGACGACGTGCGCTTCTCCAGCCTGGTGGTGGACATCGTGCAGGGCATGGACACGCTGTACCACGTCATGTACATCAGCACGGGTCGGTACAGATACAAATACACAAACGTGAATGATGATCCACATTAACAGACAGATCTCATAGAACATTCTTCTAAATCAGCATCAGAAAAAACTCTCAAGACACTGAAATCCTGTTTGCTTCGTGTTGGGAGTTTAATGTTAAGCAAACATGATTAAACTACAGAAAACATTTTATTATTCTTATTTTATTTTAGTTTTGCTGACTTTTTCCCAGAAGAAAGATACACTTATTTTTAACGTTTGCCTGAACAAGACCTTTCTGATGTCTGACGTTCTCGTCCAATCAGAATACGGCACCATCCTGAAGGCGCTGGCTACGCCCAACAAGAACCTCCAGGGCTGCTACCTGGAGGAGATGGAGGTCCTCCCTGCGGGGGCCCGAGAGCCCATCCTCAGTCTGCAGATCCTGCACAGCGACAGGTCGCTCTTTGTCGGGCTCAACGACCGAGTCCTGAAGATCCCGCTGGAGAGGGGTCCTCCTACAGGACGGAGACGTGAGTACCGCCAAACCACGTCCTACTTATTGACAAACATCCATGTGAGGATGGCTCCACCCGCGAGATGTGCGGTTCTTAATATATATATATATACCTATATGGTATAATCAATTAATCAGTAGTCGATCTAGACCCCTCCGTACTCCAGCATCTCCTTCTCCGTCAGTGCCGCCCCTCCACTCAGGATCCTCAGCCTGAAAATCTCCTGCTGGGTGACGTCTCCAGCGTCCTTCTTGGTGCCGCCAAGTGGAGCAGAGCGAGAGAACTTCTCCACGTTGGAGAAGTCGTCCTCCAGCTTCACTCCTCTCTTGTTCTTTGTAGCCTGCAGGAACTCTCACATGCCCCGCCCCCGTACCTGCTGGTGGCCGTCCCACCTGAGGAGATGCTGGCGGCAGAGCTCCTCTGCTGCCCCTCGTCTTCCTCTTCAGGTTCTTCCTCTTAAAGCCCCCCCTCCTCCATGCCCTCCTCGTTGTCCGAGATGTCCATCCCACCAATGAGCGCCCCCCGAACTCCTTCACCTTCCCTCCCCCGACCCGCCTGCTGGACCCCACCCATCTCCTTTCACTCCGTCAGACACAAGACCACATTCAACCCCCCTGACCGACCGGCCGGGCTTCCTCCCCCGAGTGGAGGAGTTCTTCTCTGGACAAACCCTCGCCAGGTGTCCCTCTCCACCACAACGGAAACACCTCCCATCCTCCGATGTAGCGAACATCACGTAGTCGAACCCCTCGATCCTCACCTTGATCACCAGGCTGAGACACATGGTGAGGACCACGTGGAGCCGTCTCCTGTGAGACACCACGTGTCCTGCACGGCCAGACCTCAGTCCTCCACGTAAACCCCGTGAGGTCCATCACGCCGATCGGCTGCAAACACACACAAACTAACACAGAAAGAAACAAAGGTTACACATTCACACCACAACACACACACACACACAAACACACCACAACACACACCAGAAAGACACCGAAAATAAACAACGAAAGAGACGCTCTGGCTGTTTGTCCTCATCAGCTGGCAACTTCCTGCTAGCCTCACTGCGTGTGTGTGTCTGTGTGTGTGCGTGTGTGTGTCTGTGTGTGTGCGTGTGTGTGTGTGTGTGTGTGTGTGTGTGTCTGTGTGTGTCTGTGTGTGTGCGTGTGTGTGTGTGTGTGTGTGTGTGTGGTGCTCATGTTCTCACAGAAGAATTGCCTGATGAGTCAGCGATACAGAAACTCAGATACACTAAGTGCAGACACACACACACACACACACACACCGCCCAGGAGGCCGTTGCATGTAACACAATGTGGGTGAGATCCAGAAGAAGAGAGGGGGCATGAGGGGGGTGAGGGGGATGAGGGGCATGAGGGGGATGAGGGGCATGAGGGGGATGAGGGGCATGAGGGGGATGAGGGGGTGCAGGTGGCTCCTCTGACTCATTGTGACACCTGACTAGTCGGGAGGAGGAGACGAAGAGGAGGACATGTTGAGGACATGTTGAGGACATGTATACGACATGTATACGACATGTTGAGGACATGTATACGACATGTATACGACATGTATAGGACATGTTGAGGACATGTTGAGGACATGTATAGGACATGTATAGGAGGCTCACTAACAGACAGACAAGGTTCATAATAAATGTTTCACTTTACTTTATTGTTGAGCAGTTTTTCCCCTATTTGTATGTTTTAAACTGAAGAGCCTGAACACATCACAGTGTAACTGAAGTGAACCTCTGTTGCTTAGCTGTTAGCTGTTAGCTGTTAGCGGTTAGTGGTTAGCTGTTAGCGGTTAGCGGTGCTGCTTACGTTACTAGCTTCTCCTCTTGTGGATTTAAACGCTGATCGGTTATTTACGATGTTTTATAATAAGAGATTATAAAAACATCAGTGATTTTACTGAACCTTTATTGACACTGTGACGATGACATCATGATGATGACATCATGATGATGACATCATGGGCCTAGTTTGAATGCGTGTGTATGGACCTGTTGTCCCGCTGCAGTCCGAGAGGGTTTAATCTGCTTTCAGAGCTTTTAACGGCAGGTTCGCAGCATCGATCCACTCGGTCCTGAGAGCAGAAGGACGTTCACGTCCTTGTCTGAGTGAAAGCTGTTCTACACGCGCTGAATGCCGCAGCCTGCGTGTCCTTTGTGATAATTATATTCCACCCTGGCCAGCTAACGGCGGCGCTGCTATCGCTCCATCAGTGGTTTATCCTGCTAGCTTAGCTCAAAAGCTGCATCCGTCAGCGCGCTCCTGCTCCTCCTGACCTCCACCTCCTTCTGCTCACGTTCACGGCCCATTGAAGTGAAGGACGAAGCGTTTTCTGGCTGCTGGAAACATGAACATCCTAAATAGCGACGAGAAGGAGGCGCCGGAGGCGAATAAACGAGGAGAGCCTGAAACAGAACAAATCTGTGTGTTGTGTGGCGAGGAACCACGGGCCGCTGCTGGAACGCTCAGATATACACGCGAAAGAATACAGAATAAAATGTCCAGAAGGAACGAGCTTTGGTTTGAGAGCTGCTGAAAGCGCTCGGCAAACAACGCGGCTGCACTTTGCTGTGGCGGTGAAGATGTGTTCAGAATGCAGAGCAGGAGGAAGCAGTCGCTGCTCCGCTCACGACATCCATGAGACGTGAAACACGGGCGGATGAAGAGGCTTCTGGTGTGTTTCCTCTTCCTTCACACCACTTCTCCTCCTCTAGCGACCTTTTATTTGCACAGAGCGGAAGCGGACGTGGTTTACAGACAGATCGCTGTTTGAGGAGGACTTCTTTGGCAGCGCGCCATCTCGCTTTCCTTCTCCTCATTTATTTCTCCTGCCGGCCGGCCGGCCGGCCGGTCCTGATGGGACGCATTAGCGCTGAATGCTAGCAGGAGTTCTCCGTGTCTCCGATCCATCACCAGCGGACCCACGCGGTCCAGATAGAACCCATAAATAAAGGTATAAGAACAGTGAGGAGCGTCATGATTAGGATCCATACTTCCTCACTACATGAGCCCTCAGCCTGCAGGGTACAACCCTAAAGAAAACACAACAACAACAACAACAACAGGACGGCCTCGGCTCCTCTGTTCTCATTACAGCTTCAAATCCAAAGAGCAGTACTGAGCTTCTACGTCACTGGAGGAGCTGAGGAGTTATTTATATATTCATATTCATCGTGCAGCTACAGCTGACGTACGGTTCTCAGGGTGTTTTTGAAGAAACTTTTAAGTGACGGATCGGATCAGTACCAAAGATAAAATCAGGTCATCGCTCCGCAGTAAAGAGTGACTTCCCCCGCAGGCCGTGCTTGGAGGCGAGGGACCCGTACTGTGGCTGGGACTCTCGGCAGCGGCGCTGCACCACGCTGGAGGAGAGCACCGACATGAGCCAGTGGAAGCAGAACATCTCTGTGTGTCCGGTAAGTGACGACGTCACAGAGACACCCGGGAATCACAACCGATTCATTCCCTCGGTCCACATTGTACACGCGAGTTTGTGGTCTCAGTCTTTAGTTCTTCAGCACAGCGTGATGTTCATCTAGTGACTGATGGTCCACGTAGAGTCCAGCAGATGATGCTTTAATCTGTTGGATGGTAACCACGGTAACCACGGTAACCACGGTAACCCGGATCAGGTGTGCCAACCCGCTCCGATTGCTTTATTGTGTTTCTGTATTTTTAGCTGCGCAACCAAACCATCGACGGCGGCTTCGGACCCTGGGCGCCGTGGCAACCTTGCAACAACGACGACGGCGCGGACGGCGTGAGCGCCTGCTTGTGTCGCTCCAGGTCATGTGACAGCCCCGCCTCCCGGTGCGGAGGCAGGAACTGCGAGGGGCCCGCCATCGAGGTCTCCAACTGCTCCAGGTGACCATGCTTACAGTATTTATATCGATTCATTCACCACCAGCTGACTTAATGAAATGTCTGTAACACACTTTGGTCAAAATACCACAAGGATCATTTCAAACTGCCCCCTTTTTACCCCGTCTGAAACAGCCCCCCACAGAGTGACCTGTTGTAACTGTTCCTTCAACGCCAACGAGCCACTGCTTCAGTTTGATTCCAATTAACTATTAACAAGAGTGACTAATCGATAACGAGCCCATGAGCTCGTCCCAGTTACTCACCGACTCCAGTTGGAGCTCCGCCCCCTTCCGAGATGGAATCTGCTCATTAATGACTATTAAATCATGAGAAGTGTGACCCGGGACCAGCGCACTCAGCAGTGTGTGTGTGTGTGTGTGTGTGTGTGTGTGTGTGTGTGTGTTGATGATCACAATAACCCCAAAAAGGGCTCAGAGAGCCTCCTCGTTTGTGACCACTCTCCCTCTTGTGCCCGTTGCCGTAGAAACGGATGCTGGACGCCGTGGTCGTCATGGGGACAGTGCAGCACGACCTGTGGGACGGGCTTCGAGCTGCGGCAGCGGTCCTGCAGCAACCCGGCGCCGCGTCACGGAGGGCGCGTGTGCGTGGGGCCGAGCCGGGACGAGAGGTGATCACGTGACGAGCGTGTTTTATAAAGTCTGATCAGTCTGTGGAGGAGACCGCTGTCTTCTTCTTTGGTTTATTTAGGGTGTTGGTCACGGAAGCAGCTCATGACTCCGCCTCCTCATCAGGACACATATGTGTGCGTGTGTACTTGTTAGACCGTGTCCCTCATGTGTCCTCTCCCTACATCCATACATATCTGATGGAGGCACCTTTGATCTCACAGGTTCATTACTGGATACAAACACACATTGTTTGTCTCTTATGAACCTTCAGCTCTTGGAACTGTCCCCCCCCCAGGTTCTGCAACGAGGGCACTTCCTGTCCTCAACCCGTCTTCTGGTCTCCATGGGGGTCCTGGACCAAGTGCAGCACAGAGTGCGGCGGGGGGGTCCACTCCAGGGTCCGGACCTGTGAGAATGGGAACAGCTGCCCAGGATGTGCTCTGGTAGGAGGCCGGGCCGATAGCTTGTTTCCTCAAGCAATTATTTTATTAATCTTTGTTAAGAAGATTACAATAATTAATTATATAAATAATACACAACCATAATAAATATCTATATAGATCAATAATAAATATCTATATAGATTAATAATAAATATCTATATAGATTAATAATAAATATCTATATAGATTAATAATAAATATCTATATTGATGTATCTATACAGTCAGCGACAAGAAAATGTAAAAACAGAAAAATGATCAGGGAAAACTTTTTCTTCTCAAAACTATGAGTTAACAATAAATATTGTGGACTTTATTTGTACACAACAAATATGAAAATGTAGCATCCCAGTTCGCTCAAAGAAAAGTCTGCAGAACACAACTGGTGAGGAGGACCGTCCTGCAGGGGCAGCTTCTGCAGACCGTAACCCCCCCTCTCCTCCAGGACTACAAGGCCTGCCACCTGGAGGCGTGTCCGGAGGTGAAGAGGAGCACGCCGTGGACCCCCTGGATGCCGGTCAACGTGACGCATGGTGGAGCCCGCCAGGAGCAGAGGGTGCGTTACCTGTGCCGAGCTCACCTGCCCGACCCCCACGAGCTACAGATCGGACGCAGGAAGGTGGAGACGCGCTTCTGCCCCAACGACGGCACGGCGGCCTGCGAGACGGACGGTGAGTCACTGAGGTCATGAGGTCACTGAGGTCTCGAGGTCACTGAGGTCATGAGGTCGCTGAGGTTGGGGCTAATGCAGTGAATCATAAAAGTATTGGAGAAAATATATGTTTGAGATACATTTTTTTTTTTCACTGATACTTATTGATCGTTATTGATCGTTGTGGCACAGATACAGATCCCTCTGATGTTTGATCATAGCAGCTGGTCTGGTGGTCTGATGAGGATGGAGGATATTTTTTTTTAAATTGCAACCGTCTCAAAAATCATTTTGACGCTCTGAAGTCAGTAAATCACCAATCGTGTGTTTTTTTATTTAAACACACAATTCAATCATAAATATTCCTATGAAATAGGAAGTATTTTGGATGCAGTTTAATAATAGCTCACAGCTTGGAGCCAGTGTAGTGTGCTAGCCGTTAGCCGTGCTGCTAACGCAACTAGCGCCGCCTCCTGTTGATGTAAACACTGATTGGTTGTTTGCAATGTCACATGATGAGAGACCCAACACCAGCAATATGGGGGGGGCTGTTTCTCCACCAACCACTTTGACCTATGACCTATGACCTTCTGCAGTTTTAATTAAGACACTAAAGAGACAATAAATAATGGATTAAAATCGAGTTGTGTTAGTGCACGCAGACACACACAGGGTCAAGGGTCACTGCTCTCCAGTGGTGGCTTTTTATACAAATATATGTATATGTGTGTGTGTATATATATAAAAATATGCATGTGTATATATGTGTATATATATATATATATATATATATATATATATACACATGCATATATATATATATATATATATATATATATATATATATATATATATATATATGTGTGTATGATTCATCTTTTCCCGTCCTGTTGCAGTGCTTGTGGAGGAGCTCCTGAAGACGCCGTTGGTGAGGGGGGGGGCCGGCTGGTCGTCGTGGGAGACCTGGTCCAGCTGCTCTCAGAGCTGCTCCAAAGGCTACCGGACCCGCCGGAGGAGCTGCTCCGGGCCGGAGGGGAAGAGCCCCCCCGTGGCCTGCCGGGGGTCCCCCGTGGAGTACCAGGACTGCAACGTCCAGGCGTGTCCTGGTGAGAACGGCGTCCAGTCAGGCTTCTCATTATGAATATATAACAGTGACGATGACAAATGATTTCATTTCTGTAGCACGATAGAAGATAGATATATTTATACCTACATTTATATATATATATATATATATATATATATATATATATATATATATATATATATATATAAATATAATGTCCTTCTTTATTATGTTTCTTCTTCAGTTTAGCACCATTAGCTAATGATGCAATGCAGGGGAGAGTCCTGCTGATGTTCCATCCATCTGTAGTCAGCTGACCCGAAGCCTGCTGCCCTGACAGGATTATTACACACACACACACACACACACACACACACACACACACACACACACACACACACACACACACGGATAAACCTTAATGAGTATGAATTAAGCATTCACGGTTGGTTGCTGCAAACACAATTTGCATCTAAACGTTAACTTAGCCGCTGATACAAAGACCCCAGGAGCCCTTTTGGTTTACTTCCCTCTGGGCCAATCAGGAGAGCCGCTTGCTGCGAGGGTCACGTTTGCCCCTGGTGTCTCCACGGAGACGCAGGCGAGGACGACGGGAGGACGAGAGGCCGCAGACATGGGAGAGAAGGAGCAGCAAATAGTAATTGATGATGCGATTAGAGAGAAGGACGGAGGCCATATTGATTACTGGAGATTGAAATGAATAGTGTGCGTGACGGATGGAAGGCGGTCAGTGAGTCACAGTTTAATTATAAGTTCCTTCATAAGAAGGTCTGACCTGAAAAGGTAACGTTGGTATTGTGAACCTGTCACCACCTCTTAGTTCGAGTGCCTCCTCCACAAACGCAAGTGCTCATGGGTAAAATCAAGTCACGCCGGTGGGGTCTGAGGTATGGAAGTCGACTGCTGTGTCATCCGGACGTAACGCCATCTAGTATCATTCTCATTACGCTGTTGAGTCCCACCGTTCATCTGCTTCTCCTCCGT